ATAAACTAAACAAGGCACTTTATGGATTGAAGTAGGTACCAAGAGCTTGGTATGATGAGATTGATGCCTACTTCAACAATGCAGGTTTCAAGAAGAGCTCAAGTGAGGCAACCTTGTATGTTAAAACAAGTGAAGACTCACGTATCGTTATTGTCTTCTTATATGTAGATGATATTGTGTACACTGGTAGTAGTCCGCAATTACTTGAAGAATTTAAAGATGACATGATGAAACACTATGAGATGACAGATTTGGGTTTGTTACACCATTTCCTTGGAATGGCGGTACTACAAACTGAGAACAACATTTTCATACATAAAAAAAAGTATGCACAGAAGCTAATTAAGAAATTTGTGTTAAAAGATTGCAAGACTGTTGCTACTCCATTTGCAGTGAATGAGAAATTGAGTAAGGTTAATGGTAGTGAAGCTGCAAATGAAGGAGAATACAGACAACTTGTGGGGAGCTTACTTTAATTCACAGCAACCAGACCTGATGTAATGTTTACAACAAGCTTGTTGGCAAGGTTCAAGCATAATCCCACTAAGAAACACATGGGAATAGCAGAGAGGGTGCTGAGATACATTCAAGGAACAATTGATTTTGGAATTGTCTTTGAAAAGGGAAAAACAACTACTCTAATTGGTTACTGTAACAGTGACTGGGCTGGAAGTGATAATGATATTAGAAGCACTTCAGGTTATGCATTTACACTAGAATTTGGCCTTTTTTTATAGGCATCATTCAAGCAAAGCACTGTGGCATTGTCCACAGCAGAAGCAGAATATGTAAGTGCTGCAGAAGCCACCTCTTAAGTAAAATGGCTAAGATTTGTACTTGAAGATTTTGGAGAAGAACAAGTGGAAGAAACACAGATAATGTGTGACAACACATCAGCCATTGTTATGGCAAAGAATCTTGTCCTTCATTAAAAGACAAAACACATCAGCAGAAAATTTCATTTCATCTGAGAAGCAATTTAAGCCAAGGAGATTGAACTGGTGTATTGCAAGACAAAGGAGCAAATTGCAAACATTCTTACTAAAGCTTTGCCTAAAGATCAATTTGCCTATCTAAGAGAGCTTCTGGGAGTCAAGTCAGCTAAAGGGTTAGAAGGGAGCATTGGTGTGTAACCCTTTAGTCGAGACTTGGAGGCAAAGAAACAATTCAAACCTTTAGTTTAATATTTGTTTCAAGTTTAAATTAGAGCCGTTGGATCATATTCCATGTGGTTGCTCTCACTTGTATCTCCTTAAGTCATAGATTATGACAAATGGCATCATCTCATAGGTTGATAGTAATTATGGGCTGAGATTTAGTTTTGGTTTGATGAGTGAAGAATCTCTCTTCCTCTTCCATGTCTAACAGTAACAACCTCACATGTTTGTTGTGAGGGAATATCGAAATCAATTCCATCATCATTCTCTGAAAATTCTCTCTGCCATTTTTCTGGTTTTCCTCTCAGACCTTCATCAAGCGTTCATAGAAGCATATTTAATATCCCCATACTCTAACAAACGTTTCATGATATTTTGAGCCATAGACATAAGTAACCATCCCTTGACTTTCTAATTCTTTGCATATCACTTTGCATGGGTAGCATCTTCTTCGTTTGGAGGTTTACTCTTGCCACAGATATACAAAATTTTTTCTCGTCCAGTAATGTGGATCTCCATCATCTGAGGCCAGACATCATAGTTTGATTTGTTTAGGGTGATTCAGGCATTAATTTCAGAATTATTCGGTTGGAGGACGATGGGAGCAACCTTCATTTCAGATGTGTCCTTTACATCGCCCATGGTCATGAAGTAACAGAGAAGATTTAGACGATGAGGGCAACAACGGCAAGCAAGCCACACCTGCTCGTGATACCAAGTTGAAATACTTTGTTGAATGTATTCTTCTCACCGAGGAGGAAATAAATATATATGGAAGAGTACATCCCTAATTACAATGAATATAGGAAATCTAGAGGAAACCTATTAAGGAATGGAATCCGTAATTACAATAATTACATATTCTAAGAGAATGTGGCCAACTTATTTTTTCTGCATAATTCTTAGTGTCCTTAGGGAAATTAAATCCAGACAAGCTCTTTGAGGAAAAATGCATGAAAGCAATGAGTGATATGAAAATATATACAGTTTCGGCAGATAGTTTTGTTCCTGTTATTTCTTTCGAAAGCCTAGTTTTATCTTTTACTTTGTTGTAATCAAACGAAAAACTACAATTAAGAAAAGAAAGTAAAAAAAAAATACAAGAGTTGAGAAGAGTACAGAGTATTCCAATGGTGACAAGTTCCTCTAAAAAATCCGATATATCGAATCCAGAGCTATAACGTTGCTCCATAAGCGCACATGAGTCAAGCTCCAAGAGTTTCAACATCTCTCTCTCTTTCTCTCCCCCTCTCTATATTGAATCCAGAATATAGGAAATCTATATGCAATAAAATTAAAAAGACAATGCATAATTTAATTAAAAAGAGTGACTTGAAAATTGGTAATTCACAGGCTTTAGGTTTTTTTGTTTCTGTCACATTTCAGAAATGGATGTTGTGAACTTTTAGAATTGTATTAGTAACCATAACTGTGATTTGTTTGGCCAAACAAAATTCGGTCTTAAGAGTTTCTAGGAGGTTTTAGTTTATTTTATTTTTTTATTTTTGAACAATTGGTATTATCTACACTAAGAGGGAGGGAGTGGGCTTAGCCTCACAATATGTCACATCCCGGCCCGGGCCCCCACCACATCCCGAGCTCGACTCCGCCGTAACACGATATTGTCGCTTAGGCCCCAACCACGCCCTCACGGCTTTGTTTATGGGAACTCACACGAGAACTTCCCAGTGGGTCACCCATCCTGTGATTGCTCTCGCGTAAACTCGCTTAACTTCAGAGTTCCGATGGAACCCGAAGCTAGTGAGCTCCCAAAAGGCCTCATGCTATATGGAGGTGAGCATGTACATATAAGGCATAGAGGATCCACTCCCCTGGGCGATGTGGGATCTCACAATCCACCCTTCTTAAGGGCCTGACGTCCTCGTCAGCATACTTTAGGCCAGGGATTAACTTTGATACCAAATTTGACACGCCCCTATCCCGATGTCCCTAGGACATCGGGATCGGGGGGGGGGGTGTCACAATGGGTTAGCAATAATGTGGTTCAAATTCGCCTTTAGCAAGAATGTGAAAGTTTGATATTTTAGATTTCGTATTTGTGTTATCAATGCTTTCTTGGTGAACAAGTAGCTAGTAATATTCTGGAACCTCTAGGTTTGTTTACGAGTTAAGAGTTTTTGGTTTTTCTATTTAAGCCAACTTATGTATCTGTATTGAGTGATCATCTTATTATCTTCCTTTTATATTATGGGAACTATTATTCACACTTTAAAAATCTAATTGTACACTTTTCATAAGAGTACTGTTCTTTATAAATTTGGAGTGCACAATTAATTATACTAATAGATTCCATATTGCTAGTGAATTCTAACTTATGGTATTTCATTTGATTCCCTTATTTATTATATCATTTTGCATCAAAATGACTCCATATTACTTCTCCTATAAGTTGTTGCATCTGAAAATGAGGAAAAGTTATGGGTTGTTTTTTTGTTGCTTAAATTTTTTTAAAGCAGCTTCTTAAAAAAGTTGGAGTCTTAATTGTGTTTAGTAAATGAAAAAAAAAGTTTGTTTCTTTTCTAAATCATGGGTCCAAAACAGCAAAAGTAGAAGCAGCTTTACACATGTTTATCAAAAAAAAAGATTTTTTTTTTTTTTTTTTCATTTGAGAGAAGTGAACAATATCAATTAATGAACTTTTATATTGACAATCCTACTCCCGTAATTTTTTTTGTTGTTAAAGGCACTTTTAGCACTATATTTTAGCAAAAGACTTACCTTTTTTTTCACAGTTATTTATTCTTACAACATAGCAAAAACAATTTCAAAGAAACCATCAATCCCAAACTAGCCCTTGCAACACTTGTGTTAAAAAACCACTATTGAAGTAGCAAGCTCTTCATTTATAACTTATCAGATGATGCAAGAGGTGCCAATTTGCATGGAAACATGGAGGACAGGTCCAGCCATGCACAAAATGATAAGCAGCTTTATTAGTGCCTTGGGAGAATTGTCTAAAATCAACACTTATTGCCACTTCCAACTAGTAGGCTTAGGGGGTCAACTTTGAGACACTTTTCTTTTTTATATTTCTTTTCTTAACAAGTGATATTATCTGCATTAAGGGGTGAAGATTAAGTTAAACGTCACAATGGACTAGCAATTAAATAAATTAAAGGAGAATGAAAAGATAGAAACAAACAAAAGTGAGCAAAAGGGCAAGTGAAAATCATTTCCCTATCTTAACTCCTCTTAATGCACCCGACTACAAACTTCCTACGTCAACCCCCTTCAAACTTACTATGTCAACATGGTGGAAAGAGAACGCACTTGTGTTTCGATTGGACTTTGGATGGTCTATTAGCATTTTACATGTGCTGAAAACATTGGTCTACATACGTATTGGGTTGGACTAACATTACAAATAATTGGGTGCAGGCAACCCAGTAAATTCTAGAAGTGGGAGTGGGACTAGCATCGCTAAACATCAATGTAAAAAATTATATTATTATTATTATTATTATACATATACTAAAACTGGGTTTCTCAAACCACTGTTTTTCAATGTTCATGAACAGTAAAATAACGGAAATGCTCTTTTTTTTCGTCTCACTTCCAAGTTTTGTTGTTTGCTTGGTAAAGCAAAATTCCGATTTTGCCCATCTTCACCACGCGTCACTCATCGTTAACCCCTGGTTTTGTTCCTTTTTCTCGATCATTCTTTAGTCTTCCGCTTCTTTCTTTGTTGGCTATGCGTCTATCATCGGTGCGACTGGGTTTTGCCGTTTGGTTTTCGCGTTGTCTGTCGCCACTCTCTGTTTCTCTCCAGGTTTTGCTCTTGCTTTTACTTCTTCTCGAATCGTCTCTCATCTTTAATCTCTCTACTTCAACTGCATCTTCTTCACTTTACTTTTGGGTTTTGATTTTCAGCTTAGCTAATCTATGATTCTTTTCATGATGTAGGCTACGATGAGAATCGGCAGAATTTGATTCGGAGAATCGATTTCGTGTGGGCTATGGAGAAGGACGAGAATAAGAAGCAGAAGAAAATCTTGAAAGGGAACGCCGCAACGCAGTGGCAATGGCAGAGCATGGTGAAGTACTTGCAGCGAAGGAACCGATGAAATTGGCGTTTGGGTTTCGAATCGAATCCAACTATAGAGCATGCACCATCCCCTACAGATTCCCCTCCAACAGTCTCCGCAAGCCCACGCCCAGTGAGCTCTCCTGGATCGACCTTTTCTACAACTCCACCCCCTCATTCAAGTGATAATCCTCATCCTCTCCCCAACCTCCATCATAAACCTTAATTTCTTGGGTTTTTCGCTAATGGGTTTGATTGGTTTTCGGCAGCAAACGAGCTCAATCCGACGCTTCGGTTCCCGCTCCGGCCAGAGCTGAAAAATTTGCTCAAAGGTTTTATTAATTATTTGAGAGAAGTTTCTTATGCGTCTCAGTTCTTAGCTTGCTGTGGGACATGGGTGGGTTTGCTTGCTGCCATTGGTGCACTGTCTGGAGCTTGATTCAATGGTAGTGCCTTCCCTTTTTTGGTTTGAAATCTGATTAAGATTAATGGGTTTTGATTAATTTTTTGTAAGTTAGTTTGAAATTTGGTTAACTTTTTTTAGATTCTATGTTGCTACTTTGATGATGCATGTGTTTTTGTGAATGACCCGTGTTATACTGTTGCAAACTTGATTTCACCCATTATTTTTCTGTTGTTTCATAAGATTATAATTTTGGGTTTTCTATGATTTATGCTCTCTTTTTGGGGTTACCAAGATGGTATCTTTGTTTTTTCTAGAATTAGTTGTATTAATTTCTCCTAATTTAGGTAGTTACAGATGTGGTTTATGTTCTTATGGAAAAGATGAGTTTTTGAAACCAGAAGTTATTGTTGCATTGATGCTTAATTTGATGCCTTTAGATTTAATTAGTTATGAATCCATTCGTATTGTACTTTCTGTTGACAATGATCTCATTGTTTCTGATGTGGGACAAGGTTTGAAGTTAGAGAGACCAAGAACTGGGCACCCTCTACAAGCTACAGTACTACTCTTGCTGAGGTCTATTTCAGTTCCTCTCTACTCTCTCAATCTTCATAACTTGCATTTTTTATGTCTATCAATCTGTCTATCTTCACATTCACATTTATATATTAGCATCGACTTAAACCACTTACTACTTGATTATAAGGCTATTTCCTTTAGCACTTATTTGTGGTAATGATCCATGTGGTTTCACCAATGAACTCACATCCGATGGCAAGAGGACTCAATAGAGCTCAATACATAACTCAAAATCCATTCTACAAACACATCATTTTTACCCTATTGAACATAAGGATGTAAATAGATTTGGATACAAATGTAAGTAGATTTTAATGCATTCCGCATGTTAAACACGGTTTCAAAGCCTGCAGCATTGCGCGGGCTGAATTGGTAGTATATACTAAAACTCAGTTGGGTTTCAGCACTGTTCATTAATAGTGTCAGGACGGATTTTCCCCTCCCCTTCTTCACAACTTTTAGCATTCTTTTAGATCTTGCAGTAAATTGCCGATTTTGCCCATGGTAGACGCGTGTTGGTAAGGGAAGGAGGTTGAATTTATGCGTGTTAGTCAACTGGGAAAGGAAGATAGGTGGAAAAGCAGAGCTCTTCCATTTGCTTCCACAGATTTCTCGAGCTCTCTCTCAAGCCCAGAACCCTAGCCTCCGCAAGCGAATCAAGTTTGTCTCTCGCTTCTCTTTCTCTCACGTATTTTTTTTCAATTCGGAACTGAATTTTCGATCATCATTGGAGCTCCTGCTTCCACTTCTTTTTTGTATTTCTTTTCCTTTCGTTTCTTTCTCTCACTTTTTGTCACGATTCTCACTTCAAATTTTCAGTTTAATTCGAAGAAAATGTTACCCAGAAAAGCTAGGGTTTCCTGGTGAGTCTTAGGAGTCTCTGTGTTTCCCTTTGCTGATCATTGTTTCTTTCGAGCAAAGGCTAGGTGGATTTTGGGAAAACAATCAGTTATGTTTGTCTCTTTTTTTTTTTTTTTTTTCCTTCTGGGATTTTCAATTTCTGTCCGAATTTTTGGTTGCTTTCCAGCCCAGTTTGGGGGTACCTGCCTACTCATTAATTAAATTTTTATTAATTTCACTTTAAGCACTAATTATTACAATTCTTCCATTTTTTCTGGTGAAGGTACAAAGAATGGTGTGGACTCTGAAGGAAGCTTGTTTTGTTTTGGAAGTATGTTGAGTCTTTGGCTCCCATCGAAATCTTTGATATCACTCCTGATAGATATTTGCTCTGCACTTTTTTCTCCTTTCGTTTTTTCAAATGTATACACGAAAACTTTGGGATGTCAATGATAATGGGTCTATATAATTGTACCAACACAATGTACCACTATGTTATTTCGATGCATTTTCTACAAATTTAGGATTTAGATGGAGTAATGATTGAGATGAGGGTACGATGTGGCTGATATGAACTCAATCCACTTCTTGGCTTCATAACGTGGAAGTTGAATGCATGCACTTTTCTAATTTTATATGCAAACAAAATTAAATCTTCTATTTGCTTTTGTTTTTTTGCTTGCTTCTGTTTTCAAATTTATTTTAATATAATTTTTGTTTTGGGATGAATTACATGCTTAGAGTATAGATTGTGCAGTTGCGAATCTTGATCTGATGGATGGTATTGTATAAAGAATTCATGGATTTATCTCATCTAAAATTATTTATATTTTTAGGATTTTAAATTGTTTTATGATGCCAAGTTTGGTAGAAAGAAAACGCCGGAGCTGCAGTATAACGGGTTGTCCACTGATGGAGCTGTGAGTAATGGGAGTAGTAATTCCCGCGTGACAGCACATGGGAATATGTGAAGAGAAAACTGACTTGGTCATCTATAAGCAATTTCAAAACTAGGTTGTGGATTTGGTCTTATCATATGCTGCATTGCATTTGACTCATTGCATAGACTTTGTAGAGTTGGATCCGTTAGCATTTGATTTTCTCGGATTTCTTACATGTATTTGCGGTGACACAGGGGATGAATTCTAGGATGGAGGTGGAAGGTTTTGGATGAATCAGATGTGCCTATTCATTTGTGAGGTGATTGTTTTACAGCTTAAAATACCGTGCGAATTTATTTCACTAACATTGCATTGGTTTTTTAATTTGATATGTTGTTTTGGTGTGAAAATCGAAGAACTTTTAAATGTTTGCGAATTTGGTTGACACTTAAGTGCAATTCATTTTGGTCAAGGCTTTGGTTTGTGGCCAGTTGGAATTCATTTTGCTAAAATAAGATAAATCTCTTTTTGCAGCCTGCACTTGCCTTTCAATTAGAGAACTGTACGAGGATAAATCTCTTTTTGCAGAAATAGATGCTCTAAAATAATCTGGGCAACCCATGTTTGCTCCTCTGTTGTTCAGTCCTTGTGTTCAAAATGTTTACAACGGTCTAACCTAATCATGTGTAAAGAAGAAACATGATAGAAAAGTAACTAAAACATTGCCTAATCCTCTATTTTATTTAAAGGTAACTAAAAAATGTTTGGAAGATCCGCGTTACAACGGAAATACTAACAACTAGGAAACTCAAGCACTACATGAAACTAGATGTCTTATTCTCACCAAATGAGGTGCGAACAACAATTTTCTCCTCCTCCATCCGACCATCACTTTTCTTCATTCCTCATTTCACTTAATATAATACTTTCTTTATATTTGACAAAAAAAATACTTTTATTTTTTTAATAAAAAAATAAAATTTTCAAATTAAAAACAAAATAATTATCAAACCAGCACTCTGCAATTGGTGCTAATTTTGCAAGAGTAGTATTTGGTTAGACATAGTGGACCAAACTCTAAACCTAAAGAAAGCAAATCTCGTAAGAGAGAAAATGAAATGGAACCTTTTTTCTCGGGTACATGGGACGTACGATACTCGATAGTCTTTTTTACAATGGTTTCTTTTATGTTAAGTAAGGATGGATGTACATTGGGACCAAAATGATCTCAAGACCAACAGAGAAACACGCATTTAAATGCCCTTCAAATGTTTGGTATCTTTCCCATTTGTGACCATGAAGTGCTTGATATAATGTCTACTAAGTATATATCAGCATGTTACGTCGATAACACTCAACAAAAGTTATCGATAACACTTTTCGAATTATCGATATCGGTTGACATGTGTGCACCATATTTCGGCTGAGGACAACAAGCGTACCAAGTGTTCGACAAAATTTCTCAAAGAATAAACTGAAATATTTTCATTTTTTGTTTCTGTCTAAAAAACTTGAACTTTTAACATTAAAACCCTCCAAAATTCAAGTTCTAAAATCCGACACTGAATTGCGAAGTATATAACAAATGCCTACCCATCAACTTCAATCTTGACCATTCGTATAGCCTGGTTTATGCTGCATTATTAATCCAACGAATTTGTTCTCATGCTGAGCAGTACTTTTTTTCTTTTTCTTTTGAAATTGGTTTGACCAGTTCTATTGTACTTGTGCTTTGGTACAACTCCAAGGACAATTTCTTTCAACTGTCGTATCAGCTGTGATATTCTTTAATCTTTCTGCTCAAATTGGGATTCCAAATCGTTTATTTCTTGGGAAGTTTATGTGTGCTACCTTCATCTTAAATATTAAGATAAGAATTTCATTCAAACAATGATTCTGTGCTGATTTGAATCCTCTCTTGAGCTAATGGAGAGGATCCTCCTCATCAATCATCGTGGATCGTTGGATTTTTATCCAACAGTTACAATCATTATAATTTTAAAGGGACCCCCTGTTTGTAATGGTTGGATAAAAATTCAACGGTCCACGATGATTGATAAGGAGGATCCTCTTCATTAGCTAGTTTTATCAGCTTCAAAACATAATTCTCTTTTTTCTGTTGCGAGATTCTAAGAATAAGAACACGGAAGTCCTGCAGTCATTTCCCTAATCTGCCTTTTGCCAAGGAGACCAAAATAAAATCTAGATAGTGGCGGGACATTCCACTTTTCTTTAGGGTTTGAAGATTAAGAGATCATTTTTGGTACTTTCAAGCACCTCTTGAACTTTTCTACCGAAGTCCAAAGAAAAATGTTATCTGGTAGTACAACTTTGGATTTTCATATTGACTCGTAGGAGACAAGAGGAGAGTCGATATTATTAGAATTGCGATTCAAGCACAAAACATCGTGCATGAATAAATATTTTTATTTATTTGAGCTACAAACTTTTTAATACCAACTAGCTCATATATATATATATATTTTTTTTTTTTTTTTTTTAAATTTCTCTGAGTAAACTGAGTATTTCATTTTTTTTTTCCCGTTCTCAAATCAAAATTTAACAAGAATGGTTGGATTAAAAAAAAAAAAAAAACACTGAATTTTAGAGGGTCCATATAATTATGGATCTTCCATATATATTGGGGACAGTTTCATATATATGTTTTTTGTGTTTTTATCTAGGGGTATTTTTTTTAAGAAACATTGATTGTACGAGAGGAATTTTATTAATAGCGAAAAAAGAAAGTGAGACAAACCTGTATATTTATCTTTGGCATTTTAGCCAAAATGGTCCCTGAGATTTGAAATCGATAGAAGTGATCCTTGAATTTGTCCATCATCAATCATTTTGATTATTCCGTAAAAATTCTCCATTAAATAAGGATAAAATAACAAAAATACTCTTAATTTGTGTCTAATTATTTTGGCCCATTATTTATTAAATTGAGTGAATTTGTCATTTTGATCCTTATTTAACAGAATTTTTTCACGGAATGACCAAAATGATTCATGGTGAACAAGCTCAAAGACCACTTTGATTGATTTCAAATAGCAATGACGAAAGTGAGGAGTTATGTCAATCTCAATGATCATTTTAGCTAAAAAGTCTCTTTTAAATGTTAGAATGTTTGAAGAAATTTCAAAGTCGAATGTTCGTCTCCGACTTTGCATAAATATCTATTCAGTGAAGAGTGAGGACTACCAATCTATAAACAATTATGTTAAGTGATTACTAAAATATCATAAAATTTCCCCCCAGATGATGGAAGACTTGTTAAAGACTTAAAAGAATGGCTGAAAAACAGATAACTATCTTTAGAAGGGAAACGTGCTCAACAAAAACATCAAAAAAAAGGGAAAAAAAAGAAGAAGTTCTACAACTCAATTACACTTTCATTTTTTCTTCTCCTCTTCATAATCAAGAAGGTCCTCTAACACCTTGTTATCCAAGTACTCAATCTCAAACACTTGCCTGCTCCCCTGTCCAGCAGATGAACTTCCACCGGGTGCAGCGGCAGAAGATGATGAAGTGGAAGAAGAAGAAGAAGGAAGTGTCGAGAATCTAGGAGGATAAGGAGGAGAGCCCATAACTTGAGCATAATACTCATTTGGAAAATTTAGTATGGCAAGATGACCCCTTAAATTAAAGGCAGCATTATCATAAGCCCTTGCAGCTTCCTCAGCGGTGTCAAATGTACCAAGCCACAGACGAGCACCTTGCTTAGAAGGGTCTCTTATCTCAGAAGCAAACTTCCCCCACGGCCTTCTTCGGACCCCGCGGTAACGTACTTCTTGGCTTCCCTTCTCTTGCTTTCCTTGCTTCTCTGGATCCTCTCCTCTGCGAGGGTTTTCCATAATTTCTAGCTTGATTTAACGCACCTTTGTTTGGTCTCAAATTTGGTGGCATTGCAATGTATCCCGTTTTAGGCATTTATAGATTCTATATATAAATGGGGTCAATGGGGTCATATGCCATTTTAACTTTGATTGTGTTTGTGAGTCTACATAATCGATGTTTCTTGGAAGGTTCTTTTATCTTCATAATTATTATATTATTTATTATCATATAGGGCTAATAATGGCGGTGTAAAAATTCGATTCTTCAACTCTTTCTATGGTAAAATTCAAAAAGGGTTTGTAAACCTCTTTTCTTGGATAGGCATTTTTTTTCAACCGGGTAGGTTCCAGCTTCATGTTCATATTATGTGAGAATTAATAGCTTTATTGTTTGTTAATAGTTTTTTCGCCGGGCGAACGAACTACTATATATTGTCAACTTACACAGACTATGTGAGGATTGATTCCCAAGTCACTAAGACTGAAAAAATTACGAATAGAATATGAATGCGTAAGCGATTTCATTTGAATAATTAAGAATATTACAAGAGGAATGTCATTTAGCAACAATATTTACGCACTTGTTGACATATTGTTTAATAATTAATACTAAGGGACCTCACATACAGTGGTAGAGCCTACAGTTAATCAACAACTCTGCTGTTTATTTCTGTCTACAGCCCGAATTAACCATACAATATTGGTTGAAGTAAAGAAAACAACAAAAAAAGCAAAGATATGGACGGTAGTTTTTTCTTGTTTGACAGAATTCCGTCGGCAGCTCTATATTGGTCCCTTGTAGTACCTCCTTTACTAGTAATATGCTTTGATATCTATATAATGGAAAATTTTTGGATATTTGAGATTTTTTCAGATCATACCAATTTGTTTAAATTATATTTTATCGGATATGAATTATATATGAACTTTTAATAGATCGCTTAACCGACTGAAAAGTAACCAATGAAATTTACAAACCACACATATTCTATATGGATCAATCACTACGCATGCTCATAGAATGTCATCCCTCTAAGTTCTAATAATATTCGTAAAAGATAATTAAAAGGTTGTTCAGAATCCGTGAAAGTTACTATAAACTTTTTTTTTTCTTGTAAATTTAAACGTACGCGTGATGAACGCTTTATATGTACGAATAGTAACTCCCAAAAATAACACAGAGAAAAACAGAGTGATGAAGAACAACCGACTTTCCGTAATGCAGAAAATCTTTTTAGAAATAAATTAGAATCAAATAATTTTCGATAGGTTTTCAAAAAGAAGAAAGGTTTAATATAGAGAGTTATTATTTGCATCCTAAAAAAATTATGTCACACCTTCTTTACAGTGAAAAAATAAAACAGAGAAGAGTACTGTCACATCCTGGCCCGAGCCGCCACCACATTCCGGGTTCAACTCCACCGTAGCATGATATTGTCCATTTTGGGCCCCGACCATGCCCTCTCAGTTTTGTTTCTGGAAACTCATAAACAACTTCTCAGGGGGTCACCCATATTAGGATTGCTCTTGCGTGAACTCGCTTAACTTCGGAGTCCTGATGGTACCCGAAGCCAGTGAGCTCCCAAAAGGCTTCGTGCTATATGGACGTGGGCATATACATATAAGGTTGATAGGATCCACTCCTCTGGACGATGTGAGATGTTACAATCCACCCCCCTTAGGGGCCCAATGTCCTCGTCGGTACACTTCCGGCCAGGGATTGACTCTGATACCAAATTATCACATCTCGACCTTGGCCCCAGCCCCCACCACATCTCGTGCTCGACTCCACCATAGCATGATATTGTCCTTTTTAGGCCTCGACCACGCCCTCACAGTTTTGTTTCTAGGAACTCACATGAGAACTTCCCAGAGGGTCACCCATCCTGGGTTTGCTCTTGCGTGAACTCGCTTAACTTCAGAGTTCCTACGGAACCCGAAACCAGTGAGCTCCTAAAAGGTCTCGTGCTATATGGAGGTGAGCATATACATATAAGGCTTATAAGATCCATTCTCCTGGACGATGTGGAATGTTACAGTACAATGTGGAAAGATAAATTTTTAAAAGGAAAAATAATGAAAGGATTTGAAAACTTTGTGTTTTAACGATAAGAACAAAATAAATGGTAAAGTGAATAATACAATGATTGACTTTTTAGTGTAAAAATATGGTTTTTCGTTAAAGTGAACACTACCAAGAATTTTTCGTTAAAGTTCTCATTTTTTAAACTATGAAAACTCCCTGAAACATCGTTAAATCCTTTTTACCAAACCATCTGCATAACATGTCCTTCAACATGTCAAAATCCAAATCCAACCAAAATTTGTGACAAAGATTTAAGTAAGTTTCAAAAATTTGAGTTTTGTATAATTAACACAAAAAAAAAAAAAAAAAAAAATGTCAAAATCTACGTATCATCTAATGTTATACAGTTTTGAAGAAAATTTTCAAATTGTAACCGAACACAAGTTTCTTTCAAGTTAAATACTTTGGAACTACCCATTTAAAAAAGAAAAAGAAGAAGAAGAAGAAGAAGCGGATAGAGATTCCCGAAACATGGTCAAATTCAATTCACGTTTTATTTGTCTTTCTGCTTTCTATTATGGCTGCTATTTGTTTTTTCGTTAGTTTTTTGTTTTTTGTGATCGGTGATTGATTACGTCCTTAAAGAAGTGGGCCATAACCTACGGTTGTCCGTCAAGCTAGCTCCTCGATTGTAAATGTGCTAGGGAACTGTTATTACTTAGTGGTTTGGAAGTCTTACCGAAATATTTTAGGTATTATTCACTTTTAATGTTAACAGTATTTTTATTGTAAAATATCACTCTTGATAATACTTACAATAAATTTTTGTCTTTTTGGTTAAAGTTCAAAGTTTTCAAGTTATTTTCATTAGTTTTTATTTAAAAAATTTTAATTTGTACTTTTTATAAGTTTATTTTTTTAATTAAATAAAGAAAATTTAGAGTGCCAAATGTGAATTTTAGAATGTGAATAACAATTTTCATGTGCTATTTTGTTACCAAATTTAACAGCAACAAAATCTGACCCCATTCACATTTGAGGGTAACAGAAATTTTTGTAAGGGAATATAAAAACGTTGTAATACTTGTGTTTTTTTTTTTTTTTTTTTTTTTTTTTTTACTTGAAGAAGATCATGATATTTCATTCATTGATAAAAGAGCTTATAAACACAGATTATGAAGAACTCACTCCCAAAAGGGTCCTTGCAAACTAAATCTAAAAATATTACAATAAAGCATCACTAATCGTAAAGCAATGAGTATACTTCAAGCACTAGTCCAAGCTCATCAGGAATTGTACGATTACAAAGATCAATAAAACTGTTAAAATGTGTGTTACATGGAGATTATGTGAGAACAAAATCTTAAACCATAAATTGGAATATTGAGTACGATGCGGGGTTGATTGCATCACCTAATTACCATCACGATCCCAAAACGCCGAATGAAGTAAATCCAGCAAATCAAATAGCTCCACCCTTCACAAATAAATTCAAAAGAAGTAGCACACCAAAACGAAAAATTAAAATCATGCACTCTCATAGAGAGCAATCAAACTAGCATACTGTTCTACATAGCTCTTACAGAGAGAAATCAAATCAAAATTGAAGACAATTCCTGGAAATTATTAAACATAAACAAAATAAAAGGATAAAATCATATCAATACTTGTGTTATTAATACTCGTGTTATATATAAATGAACGATAAATTTATACCTTAAACTATGATATTTAATATCATTTACATACTATATTATGATCCAAGCCTATTAATCGTAGTTACATGGAATATCAAAAGAAGATTCTCGACGAATCTTTAAACCATTCAATATCAAACTATAACCTAGAGCTTTATTCCCAAAAAAAAAAAAAAAAAAAAAAAAAAAAAAAAAAAAAATCTGTAATCTAGAGCTAATATTAGGAAAAGTAGTGAAACATAAACATGAATGATTATATATTAGACTCAATTAAACATGATCTACCACTAATATCAACAATATTGTTTCAATTTAACCACCTATTAAGTATTGGGTTTTACCACAAATAGCTTAAGCCTATTAAAAGTGGAAATTCTTATATATTAATGTATATTATTTTGTCATATAATCGATGTGATATCAATATAAAAATTGTGATAAGTGTAGTACTACTATTTGTTATTTAAGTTGCGGTTTACAAGTTTGTGTGGTCGTGCATGCTAATGTTATTGTCTTGTAGACCACCCTTTGATTATAACCTTTTTGACCTGACTGACTAGCTCTTGCCATGGTCCAAGCTGCACATGCCATACGAGACAAGGCAATATGATGTGCTCAATGAGATCACTATTTTGTTGTTTAAGCTCGTAAGCGCACAGGCTGAAGAAAATCGTCTGTTCGTCAAAACTAATGCTTTGAAATTTCCTAGCTTAAAAGAAGTTCATCACTAACTCCCAATCTAATATGAAATGAGAAAGTTAATAAAACTAATTTAAAAAAAAACTTATAAAGAAATTGGCTTGGAAATTGGAAATTATGAGGTTAGTAATAGAGAATGTGTAACATATGGTGTCTCAAATAGCTAACTAAATACATACATGTTTGTGTGAAAACTTAGCTAAGAGAGTAAACTAGTGCTAGGGTTTCAAATGGAAAATAATCCTGAGAAGATACATGTAATTTATTTTGGTACGTGAAAAGATGCAGATTTGGATATCATATGGCTTTACGAGCATCTAGGTCGTGGGAAAACCGTGTGAACCTTATTCTTGTGTAGCAAAAGCAGTTTCAGAACCTGAATCTCTCAAGTGAAGGTTAATTAAGAGGATAAAGTCAACCTTGACAATGCCAAGTTATCGTAGGATGAAGTTGCAAGTTGAGTTTGCATTGGATGCTTTCTCTGTAATACATTTTCTGCTTGCATGAGCCATCAATTATGGATGAGATGCTTGGTTTATCATTTGAAAGTTACACAATGAACACACAAGCCAATCGCAACAAGTGTTTTCAGTTGTGATACTATATAGCAAGCCATGTACGTTGGCATCATCTTGGGAGGAGCAAATCCCTTCTAAGCCCTTAGCCTGGTTCCAAAGAAGATACCTCAGGCCAAGATAGTTAACCTAGGTCCATTTCTTCATGTTTAATGATGAGATGACGCA